TGCAGCCCAGCCAGAGACACTGGGGACACTGTAAATATCCCTCCTCTCTTGCATTTAGTCGGTCACCAAATGCCATCTGTTCCTCCTCAGAAATAGCTCTTGCATTCATCCTCACCTCTCCACCCGCTATCTGTGCGATGGTTTAGACCAGCAATTTTCCAACCCTTTTGATCTCATGACACACATAAACTAATTATTAAAATTCTATGACACACACAAAATATGTTTGTTTTTTTTTTGCCCATCTGACCAAAAAAAGAAAAGGTATAATTTTGATTCTTTCAAACCAGACAGCTACTGTGGTGTTGGATGTTGTCATTTTTTTTTTTAATTTGACAATCTAAGGGAAAAGAGGTCAGTGCCCCTGACTAAATAGTCAGGTATTACATGTTTTATAAATTCTTTCAGCACACCGGTTGAAAAATCACTGGTTTAGACCCTTTCCAGCTGGCTGCTCCATTTAATAAATATTTGTGGAAGCACCAAAGGAATTGAAAACGCACTGGTGTGTAATGAATGAAACAAGGGAACCTAGAAGGGCAGTAGGAGGCTTCTTTTAAAAAGATTTGGCACAGAGGAAACACATTCTTATCTGGAAATACCAGTTTGAAGAGCCATTTGGCAGTGTTTAGTAAAGCCAAAGACATGTTAAGTCCCTAATTCTGCACTTCTGTCCTACATAGATTCCCCAGCTTGAATATATATATATATGCATATATATACACACACACACACACACACACACACACACACACACACAAAGAGAAATAGACAGAAAATTCATTGCAACATTGTAGTGGTGAAAAATTGAAGCAATCTAAGTGCTTATAAAAGTGAAAATATAAATAAATTCTAATATATTTTAAATGCTATATGGTATGATGGGATACCAATAGGATTTAACATATACAAATCAGAGCTATCTACATTAATGTAAAAAAATCTTAAAAATATAATGTTGAATGAAGAAGCAAATTACAGAAAGAGAACAGGGCATTCTGTATATAATACTTTAAAACAGCCAACAGTGCCACATACTGTTTATGAATATGTCCATATGGAAAAGCATAAAGATCTCATGGGAAGAGTAAACCCTAGATTCAGGATAGTGGTTTCTTCAGGGGACACAGAGAAGGACTAGAATCAGGCGTGTTATACAGAGAGCTGCAGTTGTACCCATAACATATTTTTTATTTATCTGAGTAATATTTGTTATAAAAGGTATTTATTATAGCATTTTCTCTATTCTGTTTGCCTAAAATATTTCATTTTTAAAAATACTATTGGGGGGGAGGGAATGTGAGTGGAAGGCAATTTCCATGTTATTCATAACCCTGCCAGAAGTGTATCTCATCTCTGGTTCAAAGATGAAAAAGTGAGGCCCAGAGAGCACTTCCTCTCAAATGAAGGGCTAAAGGATAGATTAAGACAAAGTGCTTTGTCTGTTACAGGTTTCCCCCACTATCAACAGTAGAATATTCCTATGAAACCTTTTGTAAGTTGATTTGTCATAAAACAAAGCACTTATCATTAATTTATATGGGAAATATTTTGAGCATTCCAAGACAAAACATAAGCCACCGATAAATACCCAATATGCTTAATTATGTCCAGTTTTATACTAAGCGTAACACCTTTATGAGCCCTCTTAGTCTTTTCTGATACCCTGGGACACATCTTGCTAACAGATGCACAACATGGAATCGAGGTAAAGCACAGATGCTCGTAGATGCAGTTCAGAGCTATGGCGCTGGGTGCTGAGATGCTGGGTGACTCCTGGGGGAGGAGCTTGGTGGGGTCACTCTCATTGCTTCCAGTACTTGCTGCCTCTATAATGAATGCCTTGCTGCAAGACAAATCCAATTTTCTTTTTTAAAAAATATATTTTTATTGATGTCAGAGAGGAAGGGAGAGGGAGAGAGAGATACATGGGTTGACATTCAACCACTGAGTCACGCTGGCCAGGCAAAACAAATGCTATTTTCGCTTTTCACCTTTTCCCATAAAAGCAAAAATCCTCTTCAGATTTCTTTTGGTTAGCAAAAACAAGTACTAATGTAGGCCTTTGGTAGAGGTAAAGTTGCATAAAGCCAACTTCTGAAATTTGGGGTTATACCTAAACTCAGGTGCTATGCAAACATGAGGGTGGTTAGTATTTCAGGGGACCACTGAAACTCCATTCACAACTGAAGGCAGAAATGTGTTGACCTCCATTGAAATCGATGATGGGCAAAATGTGAAACTATTTTCATTTGGGTGAAATGCATATGAAAGCATGTACTCTAGTCAGGTATCTGTCTCATGGGGCACTTGTCCAGGCCAGGCTTTGGCTTTGCTTCTTTCACCCTTGCTTCCTGTTCCTTGCTTCTGCTTCCCCCACACTGGCATGTGTCCCTGCTGGCCTAGACCACTCATTTCCATTCTAAATGCCATCTCTAAAAAAAATGTTTTTATTAATTTGAGAGAGAGAGAGGGGAAAGGAAAGAGGGAGAGAGAAAGAGAAACATCGATATGAGAGAGAAACATCCATCACTTGTTTCCCACATACACCCTGACTGGAGATTGAACCCTCAACCTGGGCATGTGCCTTAACTGGGAATTGAACCAGCAACCTTTCTATGCACAGGATGACACTCAACCAACTGAGCCACACCAGCCAGGGCCTAAATGTCATCTTCTTAATTTTCTACCACAGATTTTTTTTTTCATGGCCTTGTTTGGATATTCCCACAGTTGCTATCTCTTAAACATCGTTCTCTACAGTTCATCTCCTTTATTACACGTTGAGTGGGTGGAGCTCCTTTCCAGCTTCCTTTTGCATCTTCCCCTTTCGCTTACCCTCTAAGCCTTAGCTGTGTTGTCCCTGAGAACTGTCGCTAACGTATTGATTCAGGCCAGATTGTGCTGCCTGCAGCCCACACTGAGTTTTTGCTCTTCCTTCCTAACAGGTCAGTGCATATAACTTTCAGTGACTATGAGAGTGTACAGGGACTGCCCGCCTTTCGGTTTACGGTGCCTTACGAAGCATTAGCCAATACCTCCGACAATGCCGGCTTCTGTATACCCGCAGGAAACTGCCTGGGCTCAGGAGTTCTGAATGTCAGCATCTGCAAGAACGGTAAGAGGTGACATGATTCCGAGTGTCTGGGAAGGAGGATTGGTGTTCTTCCACCAAGAGCGCTGTCAGCCCCACAGTGAGGACGATTCTGACCTTGCGAGAACAGCGTTTCATAGCCTGGCTATAGAATGGAAAAAAGATAAAATGATTGGCTTTCCTGCAATGGTTTTTATTGGCAGCAGTTTAGAAGTCTTAATAATAGCTCATGTCTACAAGCACTGACTAGGCCAGTGGTCGGCAAACTGCGGCTCGCAAGCCACATGTGGCTCTTTGGCCCCTTGAGTGTGACTCTTCCACAAAATACCGACTTCTGTGCATGGGCCACGAAGTTTCAGTCGCACTGTCCATGCGCGCCCGCACGTGGTATTTTGTGGAAGAGCCACACTCAAGGGGCCAAAGAGCCGCATGTGGCTCGCGAGCCGCAGTTTGCCGACCACTGGACTAGGCCCAGTCACTGCTTTACGTACTTTATGTACTTACATATAGTTAATACATGAGAAGCATGACCTGATATCACATTCAAAACAATGCCAAAGGAGGGAGAGCTCAGTAATGAGAAAGTACCGATGTTGGTAAAGAGTTTCAATGACTTCAAAGCAAATTTCTCCGTTTTTCTCAATGTCTCAGCTACTGCGCTCCTTTCCATGAACAAGGCAGAATTATCAGTGGTGCAACTGACACAGTAATTGTCTTCATCTCGAGGACTACCTTTAGCAATCATGTGCTGCATAATTACTTACAATACCTCTGCTAGAGAGAGAGCCAATGGCCTCTTTTTATAACTGCGGAAACCAGGGATCAGAGAGGGAGCTTGATTTTTATCAAATCCTGTCTCCCAGCCTGTCCTTGTTGGAACGAGGGTCTGATATTCATACTGTGTTTCTTCTTAGGCAACAGTTCCTCTTTAGATTTTCTCTTGAGAAATGTGGTAACCCCTTTCTCCCGAATAAAGGTGTCCTTTTCTCCTGGATAAAGGAACATGCTAACTTTTGTCCTCCTGTCCAGTTAGTTTGAAAATCTCCTTTTGGGATAAGCCCGAGGCCAGCAGTATCCTCCCTGTCCTTGTCTGAGGGGGCAGCGCCTCCCAACCCTGGCCTTGCACCAGCGTTATCTGGAGAACCATTAATCTTATCTGTCCAGGGCCCCAGAATCTGTATTTTAACATGAGCTGCTGGTGATCCTCGTGAAGGTGCTGCCTGCATGTTCGGGAAGCACAGTGAGTGCCAGGGATCGCGGCTCCCCTCTTCTGGAGATAAGACTAAAGATGAATGGGAACGAGTTTCTGCTCTGACCTGTCCTACTGTCTCACTGGCTGAATAGTGCCCCGTCCACTCAGCCCATGTGCCTCTGGCTCCAGGCATAAGTGCGATGTATTTTTGTTTTGTTAATGTTCTGCTACCTCAAGAAGTTGATAGCTGAATAAACAGGAATATTCTACTTTGCAACAGTCCATTTTCTCCCTCTTGCCTCTTATGTATTAATTAGCAAATGTGGACGGAATGTTACCTCTCCAGGATTGCCCTCAAGTGTTTTGAATCCTGGAGTAACAGTTTGGATGGTGGGACGTGTGAGTGTTCTGGAGTCGGGGAGATGTGGGGTTGCGTCCTATCCTGCTTTCTGGCAAATTGGCCCAGTTGGTTGAGAAGGGCTCTAGACACCAATTTCTTCATTCATATAAAAGGGGATAATTATAACTTCCTTAAGCTTGTGTAAGGTTAGAGATAATAGAGGTAAAACACACAGGACAGTGTCCGGCCCTTAGGAAACCCTCAATAGAGTTTTAAAAATATATTTTAAAGGTGACTTTAGGCCACAAAGAAGGAAATGATGGCTTTGTGAAACCAGTAGTAAAGAGCAAAACACTTGTGTGTGTGTGACAGATGATGTGTATGTTGAGCTATGGGACTGGTGGATGTGTAAACAGAATGAAATTACTAGCCAATAAGCTAATTTCTTCAAAAATATATTTACTAGAAGTAATTATAGGGTCCCTCTCTCCTCAATAGGAAAATCTAGAATAGGTTTTCTTTAATAATTGTTTCCCTACTTCTTTTTTTAAATGAATAGGAAAGGCAAAACACACACATACACACACACACACACACACACACAACAAACAAAAAAACCACAATCAGAGTCTTCATGTGGGCAGACCTTGATCTAGTCTGAGGCTGGGCAGATGTCAGAACCAAGCACAGTCTTAAAACATTCTGCACCAACATATGCTGGAGAACAAAGCCTATCTTAGATAAAGTAAAAACAGAAAAGCAAGCACACAAAAAAAGAAGTCATTTACTGGTAGAGAATTGTAGTTGAAACGGGGTTTGAAGTGCTTTGAGCTAAAATAAAGCATCCATTATTCAATTAGAATTCTACCTCTGTCACCTGATAGCTGGATGTCCCTGGCTAAATTTTGTCTCTTCTCTGAACCACACTGTCCTCAAATGCAAAATGAATATTTCTAACTTCATAGGGCTGCTGGGAACATTAATTAAAATAATGTGTATAAAGCATTTACTTTTATAGGTTGAATGTTTGTTAAAGAATAATCTAGCTGGGACTTCAGTACATATTATGGAATAAAATATTGAAATGTCAGAAAATGGAGTATAAACCCTGCATGAGGAGGTGTAGAATGGAATTTTAGCCTGCCCTCTCCAACCCAAGTTTACTTACGTGTAGCCTTTTCCCCCTTAGGAACCAGGTTTGTGGTCAGAAACTTTATATTTATCGTAGCCTTTTCAGAACCACATCATTCATTTCTGTTTTCCTTAAAACGCAGGTGCACCTATTATTTTATCCTTCCCACACTTCTACCAAGCAGATCAGAGTTTTGTGTCTGCCATAGATGGCATGCATCCAAATAAGGACCATCATGAGACGTTTGTGGACATTAATCCTGTGAGTAAACACCTCTTTCTGGTAAAAGACCATATGTTTCATTTTGTCTATTCAGTGGTCATGGTTTTGTCCTTAGCTCTCTTAAGTCTACTGTCTCCCTTTCATATACAAGCAAATGTAGAAAACTCAGCTCAGTGCAATGTAATGTATAGCCTCCTAGTCTTCCATTTGGAAGGCTGAACTCTGTGGTCCTAATGTACAGAAACACCAGCAAACCTGCTTTAACAAAACAGCAACAGGGAACACTCCATCACTGAAAACGAGTGAGATTGGACCCAGGTAACCTAGTCAATCCTCTGTCACCAGCCTTGCCCTCAACATACATACGTTTCTCCCATGGGCGCACAGATCAGCAAGACTGAAGACATTCCTGTTTACTGCCAAAAATGCTTCGGTTAAAATTTAAATACAGTGTGTTCCCCCCAAAATGTATACAGGTAATGATGAATTCCAGTGGGTTAAATATGAAAAAGAAGCATTGATTGAGCTATCAGCTGTTAGAATGTGCGTACCTTTTTGGGGGACACCTTGTGTATATATTAGCTTCAGTCACTTTTGGCAAACTTCTTCCTTTAAGCGTTTATTATATACTATTCATTTAAAAGGCATCAAGTATGCATACACTTTAATCCTATATTCATAGAAGAGAAAAAAGAAAACCATAAAAGGATATGAGTATCATTTCACAGTGTGACAGTGTCACCAAAAACGCAGTTTGGGCTGCCTGCTGTAATGAAAGCCAAACTTGTGAGACAGGTGCTGATGCGAAAGGAAAGAGATTTATTCAAGTGCCATGACCTGGGAGAATGGTGGACTCCTGTCTCAAAGACCATCTCTCCTTCCAGCTCAAGCCTGTGGTTCTTATAGGGAAGGGGAGGGGAGGGCTTTTTTCCACCCAATTATCTTTCTAGTTTTTGGCGAGATGGGCCCTGTTCATGCATCTTTCTAGCTTGTGGCGTGTTCAGTGTGAGAACCTCCCCCCTGTGTCTTCTGGGGGGGACTCCCTGGAGCTCCCTGTACAAAATCACTTGGTCTGGCCCCGCCAAGGCATTAGGGGTGAGTTAATTAAATGTTTGACCAAATATAGCAGGCTAATTTTTAAGTTGATAATTTTATGTGATGTTATAAATATCCAAATGGCCCTTAGCAGAAAAAAGGTTCCCCACCCTTGGTACACAGTAACAACAGCCTGTCACTGTAGGAACTGAATTAAAGGCCAGATGTCTTCATTCTTGGGCTTTTGAACACATGGCACAATAAGAGAAAAGCAAAACATTCTCTTAGCACAGCAATTCAGGGGGACTTCACTCTTTGCTACACTCAGTTCATTTGTATCTGAGAAGTCAGTATTCTTATTTTTGTGATTAAGATCAGGTGTGGTTTTCTGCCTTTTCTCTCTTAGCCATCAGTAGGTTCCTTTTCATCAGCCAGACTGTTAGCAGGTGCTTTTTACAAAGGCCGAGGCACAGTCCCATAACCTTAGATGACGGCAGCGGCTGCTCTGCCTGGGTGGGCCCGACCACACCTGTGCAGTTCTCTGGCAGCGACAACCATCCTTCAGACAGGGTGTCTGTTAGGTCTCCCTTCTGCCAGGGTCCTCTAGGGCTTTGCTGTTCAAAGAGGCAGCATCCTGGGCGCTTGTTAGAAATGCCCAATCTTAGGCCCCACCCCAGACCTACTGAGTCAGAACCTTCATTTTAACAAGAACTCAGGCGCATACTAAAGTTGAGAAACACTGGTCTACCAGGCACCTAAAAATAATCCACATCTATCATTTTGTTCTGGGGCCAGGGTTCCCTGTGTCCCACTGTGCCTATCAAACACGGCAGTGGTCACCTCGCTTATCAGAGCCGCACCAAAATGGTGCGCTATTGGAAACAATTGTGTTTGTGGTTTTAATCATGTTTTCTTTCTACTTCTGTGGTTTGCAGTTGACTGGATTTATCCTAAGAGCAGCCAAGAGGTTCCAAATCAACGTTTATGTCAAAAAAATAGATGGCTTTAGGTAAATTTTGCTTTTTTATATACAGAAGCAAAGGGTCGTTTTTCTGCAGTGACTTTCTGGTGGGGTTGATGCTGGGAGGGAGACTGCCCCCTTCTAAGTCCACTCACCCTTACTCCTCAGGGATGAGGGATGGCCAGTCTTGGTTTTGTAATTTACTTATTTTATTTAACCTAATGCATATACAGTGCTTTCCATAAGTCAAGCATTGTTCTAAGTACTTTACATATTTGAACTCATTTATTTCTCACAATAACCTTATATTATCCCCATTTCATAGATGAGGAAAACAAGGCACAGAGAAGTTAAATAACTTGCTAGAACTCACACAGCTAGTAAGGCTACAGAATTAGCTCCTGCCACTCCACTAAGCATTCCCCTCGCTTTGACTCTGGTTGCCTCCTTCCTTCCTTCCCCACCGCTCCCGCCCAGGGCCAGCCACAAGCTCCACTCAGATAGTTAAAATGGCCTCTTTCGTCCAGCCTTTCCTCCCAACTAAAAACCACTACTTAATTAGGATCCCTAAGTACAGTTTCCTGCTCCAACTTTTCAATGGGAATTTTTTTGATATGAGAAAATGCTTATGATTTAATGTTGAATGGAAGAAAAAGGATACAAAACTATGCATAATATCGTATATTTATCCTATTCTTTCTGTCGATAAAACTTGGTTGGTTCCCCCATCAAATTTACTAGATTTAAGCCCACAATCACGGATATTTCTAGGAAGCAAATGTGGGTTGCATGAATGCATTTGTCACTTTGTCACCCGTGTGTATTTCTGAGGCAGTATAGTTTAGTAGCTAAGGTCTGGTGCTTTAGATTCAAAGTAGAATTACCATCCTGGCTCTACCATTTGCTCTGGTGGTCCTGGACAAACTACTCTGAGCCATAATTGACTCTCTTAAACCTGGGACATGGGCTACTGTGAGAAGTAAATGACATAATGTCCCTGAAAACACTGGTGCGGAGCTGGTAAGTGCGCAGTAAGTGATTTTCCTGGGCTCTTGTGAAGATGATACCTGGCAGCCTGGTCACAAAACATTCTGAGACTGCCAGCGTTGTTCTGCCAGCCGTAGCCGCCCCCTGACTCTTGGGAGAATTGTAATCATTTTGAGGAATTTGCTTTCAGCATCTTGTGTTTTGATAAAAACAGTGTACATGAATGTGCAACACTTGGAATTGCTACACTGACAGACTGGAATCTAACTTCTGAACAATATGTGTTCTCAAAGATAACTAACAAGTCTCTTTAAATTCTGAGTAATTTAATGAAATAAGTGTGCTGGCATCTTCCTATAAGGGTGTCTCTCCAGACCAGTGTGCCCTCACCATCAGGATGTCTATAAAAGATCTCATCTTTTGTCCCTGCAGTGAAACGGGCAACATCCGAACCATGGTTTTCCCAGTGATGTATGTCAATGAGGTGAGTCCTGGGAGAGGGCCTCGGGCTGGCTTTATCTGTGGAGCTGGGGAACGTTCCACGTCGAAGTCTACTGTTGTAGCTGTGTGTCATGCTCGATGTGAGGGGTGGAGGGGAAAGGTGAATTTTAAAAACCTGTTTGTCCTCTGAAAATTTCTTTCTGTGTTCACACGAATGCACTTGATGTCTGAGATTTGAAAAGGAACAGAAAGAAATTTCCCTTCTTGAGCACGTTGTTTGGGTAAAACTTCCTCCTGGGAAGCTGGCTGTGCAAGAAACAAAATGCAAAGGTCCGTGAAGCAATGTCAGCCACTGTTGAAACAACAAAGTCAACACGCAGAGAGATGTTCCAGCGAACCCTTCTGTGTGTCTCCTCCTTTGAAACCCTGCCAGTTTGTAAAATGTCGTCAGCTTACTGTTCATTAGCTGAGGAGGAGGGAAGAGGGAACAATTAAAATGATTGGCAACATTAATAAAAATTGTGTGTGAGGTGGTTAAAGAAATGGTTACATTGCTCTGGTGGTGTCTCCAGTGGTTAGCGTGTCAGCTGGAGCACCCCTGTCAGGTACCTGGGTTGCAGGTTTGATCCCTGGCCCTGGTCAGGAGTGTGGGGTAGGCAACCAGTAGATGTGTCTCTCTCACACCAATCCCTCTCACATCTCTCTCTCTCTCTCTCTCTCTCTCTCTCTCCCCCTGTCCCCACCCCTCCCTCCTTTCCACTCTCTCTGAAAAAATCAATGGGAAAATACTTTCCAGTGAAGATTAACCAAAAATGAAATAAAATAAGAAATGGTTAAACAAATGTGATATATGCCCATTAAATTTCAGTGATACATGGTTGCCTCAGCCTTCATCATAGCATAGAGTTTCTTCTACGTTCTGGTAAACAAATATGTAAGAAACAGATCCTGTCTTAGTTCAAACGAAAGGAGTTTTCCTGAAAAATACTTCTTTTGCAGTATTCCCCCAGAAATATTACCTCTAGGCCCTGGCTGGGTAGCTCAGTGGGTTAGACCAGAATCCCAGTAGGCCAAGGTTTCCATTTCTTCCCGGGTCACGCCACATATGAGAAGCAACCAATGAATGCATAAATGACTAGAACAACAAATCTATTTTTCTCTCTCCCTTTCTCTATAAATAAATAAATAATAAATAAATAAATGAAATATTATCCTAAATGTTAGGTGTAAATTGAAGTTTTGTTAATAAAAGCACATTATGAAAGCTCAGAAAACACCCATTTAAGACACAATGATAATATTTTTCTGAATCACACATCACATTGACTATAGTTCTGCCTCCTCAGTTTCCCTCTCTCTTCAACCTGGTTTCAAGAGGGGAAATTGTGGGTTTCCCCCTTAATAAATCTCAATTGACTGGCTTTTGTTGTAAATAGCATTTTTAAAAGTGTTTATTTTTTTCTTTTCCTTAAAAATACTTTCTCTTTCCAGAAAACTTCGTAACACAGATTAAAGCAAGAAAAGGGGGAAAAAAGTAAAATAACTTTTCACAAAACCTGAGTCAGACTGATATATTGTCTTTAAGTTGCTTCATTTTCCTTGCCAATGTGTTGTAAAATGTTTTCTGATAACAGCTTTGCAAAAAATAACTGAGTGGTTTACATTTTGTAAAACTAATATATGCTCTTTAAAGAAAGAAAAGAGAAAAAGAAAAAGGGAGAAAAGAAGGAAGGAGGGGAGGAAGGAAGGAAGTTAATGAATAAATGTCCCCTCTGGTTATACTAATTTATAAATGGATTTTCAGGATCTCTGGTTTGCTAACAGGAGAACATACCCAAATTGCATTTAATGATTTGGAAGAAAGATAGCAAAAAAAATTTACACCTTGGATGTTTGGTAATCAAGGCAATACTGTTTTCTTGTTCCTAGAGCGTTGTCATTGATAAAGAGAATGCAGGCCACCTAAAGTCTGTGATTAACACTACTTCGATCATCAGCAACATACCCTACATCGTCATGGCGCTGGGTGTGTTCTTTGGTTTGGTCTTCACCTGGCTTGCCTGCCGAGGACAGGGATTCATGGATGAGGTGAGCAGAGGCTGGAGGAACTTCTCGCTGGATAACTTTACAATTCAACTGGGCTTCACCGAAGGGCTGCCAGCTGGCTCATTGGGGTGGATTCTGAGCTTGTATGCTGGGCACGGCGATTTCATGCTTATATTACTGCTGGACAAAATGAGAAGCAAGGAGGAGAGAGAGAATGGGACTGTCCAGTGTTCGGGGCTCCTGTGGAGGGAATGGAACCCCTGGGAGTAAGCTTTACGTGTTTGGAAGTAGCCTGAAAGAAAAGGAAGACTAGATACTATATCACAGCTAAGTACCTGGCATTTGCTGTCAGACTGCCTAGGTTCAAATCCTAGTGCTGCCACTTAGTCACTGTGTGTCCCTAGAAACTGCCTCCATTTCTTCATCTACAAAATGAGAGAATACGCGAGCCTCCTTTAGGAGTTTTTCGTGAGGGCTCGGTGATTCAACCATAACGCACTTGGCCCAGTGCTAGTGTTTAGTAAGAGCTTATTAAACATTAGTTTCAGGATAAAAAAAAAAACAGCTCAAAGGTCACAGGGCAAGGCAGCCAGGACCTGCTTGGGAAAGAATCTGTGATATCATCAAAGACTCACCTCTGAGTCGTCATTGCCTCCTAAACGATAAGCACGGGGGTTGGACCTTTCCTGGAGGGACGGGAGCAACCCAAATGGATGGGATACACACAGCTGGGTGGGCCTCCCAGTGACAAACAGGTCAACCCAGGGTCTAAATACCTTCAGTGAGCCTTGTCTGTAGGAGCCTTTCTCAGACTCTCAGCAGCTTCCCGTTTAGCCATAAAGGCTGTTTATTTTTCCCCCTAGCTGCCTCAGCTAATTGTCCAAGCCCCATGTGAAGCAGGAAATGCTAGGTTGAAACCACCTGAATAATATTAACACAGATTTCCCCACCTTCCACGTTCTTCCATTATGTTTCTTAACCCATGCCCATCACATTACACTGAATTAGGTGTGAGGCATTTCTTTTTTTTTCTTACAGTTTTTTAAAATTTTATTTTTCAGTTATAGTTTGCATTCAGTATTATTTTGTATGAGTTTCAGGTGTATAGGATAGTGGTTACACAATCATACACTTTAAAAAGCGCCCCCCCTCCACCCCGCATTTCCAGTACCCACTGGCACCATACTTAGTTATCACAATATGGTTGCCTATATTCCCTATACTGTACTTCATATCCCCGTATTTTGCCATTTCTGCCTGTGGATCTCACTTCCAGCCCGACCTTTCCATAAGCACAGATGAAAGCCCATGTAGATGTTATCACTGCTCCTACAATTAACCATCTCCACGTATTCAACAAGCAAGCAATGACTGAGCAAGACTTTCTTCTCTGGAAGATTTCAAATCAGGAAGGAGGCAAATTCAATTGAGTGTGATGAGGGTTACAGTCCGAGTCAGTACAGGGAAGGGGACTGACTGCTCTGGGATCTGGGGTGGGGTGGTCAGGACAGGCCTCAAGAGGGTTAGGCCTGAATGTTAAAGAAAAATCAGGCTGAGAGAAGAGAGAGGTGAGGGGGACGACCTACAGCCTTCCAATCAGTCTTTCCTCCTTCCGTCTCCCCTTCCCCCGCCCCCTACTTTTCACATGGAAATATGTTTCTGACCTGAAGGCCTAACTTTGCTGTCCTCTCTTTTCTGCGTTGCAGGGAACTGCAGATGAAAGAGCACCCCTCATACGAACCTAACCCTGGCCTGAGCTTCGCGAAGGAACCAAAGGAACCGTGGTGAGCTGTCGTGATGTGGATCAGACGTGGAAACCATCGCGTCCTCACAGGCTCCTTGCCTGCTGAGAGAAGGAAGGGGACCAGAACTGGCAAGTGAGGAGAGCATTTGGCCGGAGCTCAAAGAACAGGCTGATTTAGCCACTGGGCTCTCTCAGGTCCGTGGTCCCTGACATAGGGTTTTGTTTTTCATGTGTCTAGCAAGTATTTAATAAACTCTTGTATAGTAATTTTATTGTTGTTGGGTGCTGGTAGCTCCAGAATTTTGTGACCACTGTTGTGGTTATAATGTCTGCATCACTTGTTAATGTTACTTGGTCTAACCTTATTCAGTATGCTTCATTCACTAAACTTTGTACTCCAAATACATAAATACCATTTTCTTGTTGTATTCCTCCACTCATGTCACCTCAAAACCAGAATAAGAGTTCGGAGCCCAGGGTAAAATGATAGCCTTGTTGAGTACATCATCCAAATGCACCCAATTTCCTCTTTTAAAATAAGTTATATACTGCATTCTGTGTTATTTGTCAATTCATCATTCCCCCGGGAAAACAATTTGGTCTTCTACTTTCATACCTGGTAAGAACCAAGTGAGGAAGGGGGTGGGTGGAGTGAGGCACCTAATGAGTCCATAGTGATAAATACCTGAGGATTTTTTACTTGTGCTTTTGTGAACTGAAAGAATGCAGAGATAACGTTGGTGAGGACAGTGCAGATATTCCATATAGAGTAGAACTAAATGCTAGTTCTGAGATTTGTGGATAGCTTGTTATTTTAGTTAAAATGATCTTGATGTGGAAAGGTGCTCCTAGAAGAATGTAATCAATAACTGACACCCCCCCCAATCACCCTTGCCAAATAAAACACTGTATCAATTACAGTACTGTTGATTATTTGTAAAATTATTTATGAGTATAGGAAGTCCATGCATCTACAGCCTAAGTGGCACATAAATTTCAGGAAGTCTGACTACACCGAAGAGATGTTTCTTTTGGGACAGTATTTTTGGTTACTTTGAAATTGTTTTTATAAGTTGTTCTTCTTTCCTCAGTTTCGGTTCCTTTTGTTGTTTTGTGGCTCACTGTCACTTACTGAAGAGAGAAAAATGTGCCCTACACTTCCTGTGACAATCATCTTGCTGACAGAATGACACTATTTTAACATATTGCACAGAAAGTACTTCATAAAGGTCTGTTGAGACCAGAGCGAAGTCACCCCTCTTGAGAAGACCTTTTGGTTTCCGGTGTGACCTAAATCAGAGGACTGGGAACCATCCTATGTTACAGAATTCAAGCTTATTTAAGGGCAATTTTTTTTTAATTCTCAAAGTTTAATATTCATTTTTGATTGAGAAATCTACACAGTTATCTGGCAAAATGCACACAGAATTTCTTAACAACTGAATAATTCTACAGGAGTTGTTTAAAAACTGGATTTCAGTGTAAGCAAATGAAGAAGAAAAAAAAAGCCATGGATTTCACAAATACAGCCTCTGATCCCTGTATAGGGTAATAAATCGCTTTAGCTTATTTGTCCCAACTTTCCCTCTGTACACTAAAGCAACATGTAATATGTTTCCCTTCTTGAAGGGGCAATTTGTTAAAATCTTAACATCTCTATTAAAGTAAGATAGAACCTATAGTTACCCCAAATCAACAAAATGTGAAAAACTAATTTGAAAATGTTTTATCTTCAATAATGCCAAACATCTAGATTTTTTTTATCAATATTTAACTAGATAACTGACATATCTTATTCTTTTCCACACTAATAAACCTGATAAGCCAGTGTTTACTCATTAGTTCATCCTATTAACAGGATATAATCATCTGTGAGGAGGAAATTTTTAGTGTGAATGTTAACAGTTAATGATATCTACCTTTAGACTGAATCTACAGACAGGAAGACCAAAACCATATTATTCCTATATGATTCTTAAGTTACTTGGCTTAACATCACATTTGATATTTGCCTTCTGAGAAGTCTGTGGCAAACCCATAAACGGCAGTCAAGATTACAGATTGGTTAAGAAGCATGAATGTACTCCCTACTTGGTTTTAGATGAAAATAACAAATTATTCTTCACGCTCACTCTCTTGGAGCCATTTTCCTGGAATGACCTCCTAAGTCTTTGTGATTGTCACAGTCACAGAACCCCGGTGTCCTGTATTATGATACTCAGCTTAGGGAAGAGCCAAACCGAGAGAGGTTACCTCACTTCTCACAAGGAAAACTGGGAGTTGAACACAGGGTTGGGGAGAAGTAGGCGTGGCCACTTTTAGCTCCAGGTCCCCGCTCACCGCTCCAGGCTTTATTTCCTCACTTCTAGAAAGATCATGAATGGTCAAGTGGAGCAAGTACCATACAACTAACCCTTATCGGGGCTTTTACGTAAGGGAGGCTAATTTTTTATTTACATTGCTCAAGATATGAGTTCTGTAAAAGGTGACCTTCATCCTTGGCCCCCTGGGTGTTATTACTGGAGTTAATTGCTTGTGGCTGACCTGAATGCTCTTCGTGTAGCTTGTATAGTTGGTTCATTCCATGTGATTCTTGACATGTTTATTTCTACCCTTAATGCAATGAAGTATTTCACTAATAAAAAACCATTTATATGAAATTGCACTGGAAATTGTACGTTATGTCATCAGACATACAGTTGTGTATGGAATTCTGTTTGAAAGATACTCTTTGCCCTCTTATCCGACGCAGGCCCGAGTCCCACCCCTTGGGCCACCTCTGATTTCATCTCAACTGTGGTGGACAGTTGGTTGGGGTTGGGGTGTTGGGGGGCTGGGGTTAAGGTTAGGGTGTGGGTTAGGGTTGTGGTTAGGATTGTAGTGGTTAGGGTTAGGGTCAGGGTCAGGGTCAAGGTCAGGGTTAGAGTTAGGCCCTCAGGAGCATGGGGAATTCATACTCCCAGGGACACGCTCAAGCAAAGGGGGCAGGAGTGAGCTGATCACTGTCCCAGTCCTCGGAGGGCCAGTGCTCAGGCTCATTCTACAAGGTTCCCCAATTACGACCGCCCAGGGCGGGGACTGCTTCCTGTGACCACCTCTGTATTCCTCGCCTCACACTCCTGGCCCCCTCACTGCTGCTTCCTTCCAAGGAGTCTGCCCGCACTCACACCTGACTCAGGCTGCTTCCAGGTAATTTCGGGTTCTGTCTGGTTCTTCTCCTATCACCTGCCACTTCTGCAGCCTGTCTCTTCTCTAAACTCCCTCCGACAATCCTATTGACTTCCTCTGTTAACCTGCTGCCTCGCATTCCCAAACCACCTGATGGATATCCTCACCCAGCTTGTCTTCAAGTCCAGCAAGCAAAGAAAGGAACTCGTTTTTCCTTGTCTTCTCCCCCAATTCCCATTGCTGGGGAATGGCATCTCAGTTCACCCGGCTGTACACGCCAGGAACCAGGGACTCTAGCTACATTCTCCACCCCCTTCCCTCCGCATCCCATCCGTCACGCGCTTCGCGTGCTTCTCCGTCTCTGCTCCTACTGTTATGGGTTCACTCAGTGAGATAGACCACCGACTCAGAATTTAAATTTAAGAGCCTTTATTAAGCTGGCCAGCTGACTGCAGTTACAGCACCCTGCCGAAGCAGAGGGCTTAACTGCAGCCCCGATTTCCATGGCCAGCTGACTGCAGTTACAGCACCCTGCCGAAGCAGAGGGCTTAACTGCAGCCCCGATTTCCATGGCCAGCGACTACAGTTACAGCACCCTGCCAGAGCAGAGGCCGAACTGCAGCGCTGACTGCAAGAGTTACATTTTATTATCAAATTCTGTGGAGGCCCAGAGAAAAATGTGTCTTTCAAATTCTGGGCCCCCAATATGGAGGAAACTCTCTTTATTTATACCTTCTCCAGTCCTTTGTCTCCCAAATTTGGAATGAGACTTCCGGGCCTTCTGAGAAAGGAGGCCTGCGTGCTGGGAAGGGGCCATGAGACCATATCTCAAGGCCTGGCCTGATGTCAGTACCTTCCTATCTGTGTTTTTTAGGAACAGACAGCATAGCATGACCCGTCTGGCCGAAGCGCCAGATATGTAGCCCAGCACACTTCTGTCCTCACCCTAACACAGCAGAGCTCTCACTGGGACTCCTGCAATTGCCACTAGAAGCATCATTGAATATTCTGCATAGGTCATCCATTTACATTTTCAAAGACCCAGAAGGGATTTATAATGGAAAGACTCCCTCCACCCATCTCCTAGCCACTCAATGCGTCTTTCCAAAAGCCACCAGATACTCATTTTTAAAAATATACCTTCCCAGGAATATTTTATACCAGTATGTGTATTATGTATTCTAGCCCTCCCCCGCCCGCCCCCATGCCTGAATTGTAGCATGTCAATGCAATGCTCTAAATTGTCTTTCCTGTACTTTCAGTCCGTTTCACGTCTGAAGAGTATTCCTTTGTATAAATTTAACTATTTAAACCAACCGCTTGTTTCCAATAATTTGTTTTTATAAACAATGCCGTCACATAATCTTGCCAAATCGTTTACAAGATAACGTTTGGAGGTCCAAGGACATTTGCAATTTTGATAGCTACCATGGCTTTTCGCTATTTTCATTTTTATTAAAGTTATACAAGCACACAGACTTAAGAATCAAGCCATTCTACAAGGGTTGTTACATTAAAAAAAAGCTAGAGAGACATCATTTTCAGAGGCACCTCTTTAGCCCCCCACTTTTAAAAATACCCACTCCCAGGACTCTGCAGGACACAGCGTCCTGAGTTTCCAGTTTCCGCTTTACCCATTGGCTCCGCTACGGAGGAGAAGGATTCGGCTCTCTCGTGCCCTGTCTTCCTGACACACCCCTCTCTGCACATCTTCGCCGGGGACCTCCCTCCCGCAGACTGCAAGGGCTCCCACGCGGCGCGCCTCTGAGGGATCCGCAACAGCTCACGCTGCTTGTGACGCTCACGCCACAGGAAGTCAAGAAGCCCCCGGAAGCTACCCGGGCGGGGCGTGTCCCCCCCTCCAGGCCCCACCCCCACGCCTCTCCGCATTCCGGCCCATAGGCTAGGGCCGAAAAGGGGCGGAACTCCGTGAGCCGGAGGAAGTTTCCCCGCCGGACCAAAAAGCGGAGTGCACCGAGTGTCGCGGGAGCTGCTTCTAGATCCCTTGCTCCCGCGACATGGCCTTCAACTTTGGGGCTCCCTCGGGCACCTCGGGCACCGCTGCACCCACCGCAGCTCCCACGGGTGAGTAATTCCCCCGGACCTTTTCCTGTGGACGTCTCGCGTCCGCTTCGGTCCGAGACTCTCCGGCTCGGGGATCCCAGGGTTTCCTGTCGGGGCGGAGACTTTAGGGCTTCGGCAAAGGGCGGGCAGCGCGGAGCTGGCCGAGCAGGCTCCGGAGGAGGCCGCGGGAGGACGGAGACCCACCCCGGCGCTGACACGCTGAGCGTGGGTCCCGCCGGACCCTGCGCTCCTAGGGTTCGCTTCCTGCCGCCAGGGAGTTGGACGGACCGGAGGCGGCTCCCCTCTTTCCCCGCCGGAGAACCTTCCTCCCCCCCTCCCCCAGCTTCGCGTCCCGGCGGGAACCCTCGCTGGGCCCCGGCCCGGAGAGCTTAGGCGGGGGCTCCGGCGCTGCCCTGCGGCTCCTTTGGTCCTAGCCCCCGGGAGGCGGGAGCCTTCGCCCCGGCCCCTTTGCTCCTCTCTCCTGTCCCCACCTCCGCTTTCTTAATTTATTTGGAGCAAAGTCAAGGTTTGTCTTTTGTTCACTTCTGGGAAACTTCCTACTGACGCTTCTAATCCTATCTTGCTTTCTTTTCTTGTGTTTCTTCCCCTCTCCCCTTTTAAATTTGTGTTTCTTTGCCTACACGCCTATCAGGATTTGGTGGGCTTGAGACTGCCAACTCCACCGCCAGTGGGTTTAATTTTGGGGGTTTCGGATTAGCTGCTAATCCTGCAGTGAACTTTAATATTGGGAATTTCGGTGTTCCTACTACCTCGGCGACTCCGTTCAATTTTGGTAACAGTCTGGCAAGTGCAGGTAGATACTCGGGTCGTATGTGTAACGAATGCTGGGAGCTGGAGTCCAAGAATGTGTTGTGATTCCTGGAGTTTGGGAAAGAACAGTAACTTGTCTGAGGAAAGGACATTTATCTCCTGATGTCGAATCAGTAACATTTGTATCAAGATTTAGTTTTGGGAAGTCTTGCAAGTTATAATGTTCCTTTGTTAAATTTGTATTCAATTGGACAGAATATAATTTCCAAGTAGTTTGGAATTAATTATTTTTGAGTAGAGTGTATCTTCCAAATTATTACATATTCCTTCCAAAGTATGAGCTCAGCAGTCAGGCCCATTTTCCTGGGATTCTTGGACTCCTGCAGTCACTTTTTTCATTTTTCCTGCATCTTTCATTGGAATTTCATTTTATTGTCCTTGTGTTTCCCAAGAGGACATTGTCTTATACGAACAGCAGTAACCTGTTTTGTTTTTTAACCTGTATAATAATAAATGCGTTTCTTTGTTCAACTCAGCATATTAATAAACGTTTCTGTAAGATGTGTAATTATAGAAGGAATCTTCAGTTTTTTCCTGGAAAATTGTAAGAAATGATCAGAGAGGCAGTTTAATTTATTGTCAGCATTGAGTTCTAAAAGATAGGCTAGATATCTGTGCATTCAAAATGGTAATTATGAAGATTTTATTATCTAGATGGATTGTTTAAAGTTCATTGAAAAATTTGCAAAGCACAAACTATAATGTGTGTATATGTGTACAAATTTAAAATAGGTCTATGTATACTTACAATGACCCTATAGAAAAGTCTTGTTCCTCAGCTGCTCGTATATGAATCTGTTGTCCATATTTTCTTACATTATGCCACTTATGCCCATGCCAATTATATGCATTTGGTAAACTTCATTTCCTGAAACTTTTTAGTTCTCTAAAACTATTTGGGAAGTTCTGGTATTTTGTGCAGTAACTTGTCAATGTGAGTATCACTTTGGTATTTGATTTGAAAACGTTTTGAAGAATACTTGAAAATTCCAAAAATAAAATGATCTATTATAAAGATATATTTAAAGATCACATATTACTGTCATTTGGTATGTTTATTTTTTCCGTGTTTGCTTAAAATTGGCATTGGGTAAAACAAACATTTTTTTTCAAATTTGTGTTTCCGGACAAAACCACCCAGTTGTAATTCACCAACAATAAATACATCTTTTGTTATGTGCTTGATTCTGTGTTCCTTTGGAGTTATCATTGTTAAGTTTTGAGTTGTGATAATATAATTGTGTTTTAACTACTTTTATATACATTATTCATTAACTTTGCCTTTACCAAAGGGCTGATAGAAATTTTTGTCTACTTTTTAATTTTGTATCTTTGCAGATTGATGTTAATAATAAACATTTTTGGTATGATAAAACCTGACTGATATTTTTATCATGTAGTCAATTCAGAGTATATCTTAGTTTTTCTATGGAAGGGAGAAGTAAGAAAAAAGATTGTTTCCAGTTTTGCAGTATTGCCCTAGCATACAAGTAAATAGTGGTTTGCCTGCATGCAACATAAAGTCTATTCTTTTATTACTTGATTTTTGTTGAGAGAGAGAGAGAGAGAGGAAGGGAGAGGGAGAGAATCATCTATG